CAAATGACGAGACTTGAAATGCCCAAATTATCATATTTATGCATCTCTTACTGTTTTCTTGAATGGACAGGGTACAATTTTCAACACACTTTAGTTGGCTTCTCTTAGGACTGGGAAACAAAAACTTGTACGCTGAAACATATTGGAAAGTAGTAATTATATTTTTGTTTTGACTTAATTCAAGACAAGAGAGGCATGCTTATTGATGGAGACCTTTACATGTTTATTCTTTGTCATTTTTTTATTTCAATTTACCTGGAAAAGAAAAATCCTGACAGGAATGGAAGTTCCCGCTAATATATTCTTACATTTTTTAGAGATGGCGAGATAATATGCTTTCACTGAATAAGGTATTTTTCTCAATTTTGCTGATTATTACTTGGCTGTAATGTCTGATGGTTGCTAATATCTTGTCGAATTTCAATACATTAACTTGCTATACACATATAATCAAGGTCCATAAAGTTTGCAGATAGTGTAAAACATTTTCATTAGAGAAATGGATTGTTATTGCTCGGCTGTATATTGTTAGAGAGCCTGTTAGGGTTGCTCAGCATTTGTTCTCATCCCCTCAGAATCCTTACATTTCTTTCATTGCTCTGTGTGTGTGTGTGTGTGTGTGTGTGTGTGTGTGTGTGTGTGTGTGTTTGTGTTTGCCTGTTTGTCAGTTTTTGTATCTGTAACTCTCTCTGTATCTTTATGCGTGTCTGCTCATGAACACTGCCACATGTGCATATATGAGCATGGCATGTGTATGTGTGTGCATGTTCACATGTATATATGTATATATATATATATATATGTGCATATGCACATGCATGTACACATACAAGTGTGTTTACATATGTGCATGTAAGTGTTTCATTGTAAACCTGGGGGGGGGGCACGTGCACGCGCGTGTGTAAGTATGCATGTTTGTGTGTCCGTGCATGCGCGTGAAAATAGGGGTTTAATAATGAAAATAGGCAGAATACTCCCTTAGAGTTGGACGTCAAAACAATCCGTAGCTAAAATTGCTGAGTTATGAAGTGATCAAGGCCCATTTGCATTACTCTTTGTGCCGATGCATATCACTTATCAAATATATTTCTTAGTTGCTTTAGAATGGGTGTCAAAATGGAAGATGAATGGTATTGATTATTGTTGTTGTTGTTGTTGATGTTTTTGTTGGTATTGAAGTTGTCGCTGTTATTATTTCTATTATTATTGGTATCAGTTATTGTTTTATTATTCTTGTTGCAGTTGTTATTAATATTACTGGTATTGGTTATTATTTTTATTATTATTGTTGTTGCTGTTGCTGCTGTTATTATTCATGTTGCTGGTATCGGTTATTTTTTTTCATTATTGTTGTTCCCGTTGTTATTAATGTTACTGGTATCGGTTATTATTTTTATTGTTGTTGTTGCTGTTGTTATTATCATTATTATTTCTAGTATCAGTATTACGGTAATCAAACTTATTTGATAAAAGGTATTGGTAAATGATAATTGGTTGTCATGATTTAGCATGCTAATTGTTGGTGCAAATTAGTATTGAAAATGTTATTTCATGTGTTGCCGTGTCGCTGCATATGTTGTTGCGTGCCTCGGCAGGGCAGGTCGGGCGTGAGCTGTTAATTTCATATGCAGGCAGCGGCGTCTCATTTTTGTTACTATATTTCGCGGGATTTCAAAATCATCGTTTGCTTTAAAAAAAGGGGATTCTGTGCTTGCTTTAAGGGAAATAGACTGGGAAGGGACTAGAAAAAAAAACATTCCGATCGTTCAGTTTTCTCTCGTGACCTGTACAATAGGAGTAGATAAAGAAAATTACTTTTAAAAAATCAGAATCGTGTTTTTTTTTTTTTTTCTTTTTTTTATGTATTTGTTTATTTATTTTGTAAGAGCGGCACAGGAAGGGACAGAAGAGGCGCGGGTGCCAGCCACTGGTCGGTCGGGATGCAATTGCCTGTGTCGATAGGATTGAGCTTGCAATGGGCAGGGAACGTCGGGCAGGGGCTGGAATGCAGACCTCCGAGTGCAATTGCATTTGCTGCCCTGCATTTTATGGCAGCGAGCTTTCATTGTCCTTAATTACCATTCGAAGTGAATCGTCGGTTTGGGCGTTATTGGGAGGGAGATTTGCGATGTTTTTTTCTTTCTTTCTTTGTCTCTTTAGGGAATCGGGTCAGGTGTTTTTATATGAAATTATATGCATGTATTCGCGCTCAAAATAAACAAGTGAAGAGGGTTTTTAAACTAAAAATTTCGGCGGGTTGACAAGGAATAGTCGATTGTCTTCGGCCCGAAGCGAGAGCCGGAGGGGAAGCCCTCCTTATCGTCAGGACGAGCGTAGAGCAGGACACAAAGGTATCGGAAGTGAGTAAGTTAGGCGAGGTTGCATATTTAATGGAGGAGGCGGGGAAGGGAGTTTGCCGGGGGGGGTGGGGTGGGGGTGTCACTCACACCCCTCCCCCTCCCGGATCAGCCGCCCAGAGTACAGCATAAGTGCTTTCAAGGCGCCCACGGCCTGTGATGGAAGAGGCTCAGGACACGTGTGACGCGGGACGCGGCCAAGGGGCCAGTGGGAGGCAGTGACGGTGCAGCAGCGAGTGACGTAACAAAGCGAGAGCGAGCGCAGACCGTGACGAGGCCCCGTGTGATCCCTCCGGTGACAGGCTCATCACGCCCGCCCGGCGCTGATGGCGGGGAACACCTCTCGATACGGCGGGTTGTGAGAGGCGGCGGCGCCGTGCACCCGCGAGGTCATGCGACAGAGCTGCGACGGCGGCCAGGAACATGGCGAGTGTGAGCCCCTGCCTGGCCGAGCCTGCTTCCGGCCCTGGTCCCAGCTCCGGCCCTGGCCCTCCGCCCGCCGCCACCCTGCACCGCCCCGACGCCTCCAGGCCCTTCTCTGTGCGATACTCACTGTCCTCCCTTCGTAAGTGTGACCCGCGTGGCACTCTGGCCTGCCGCTCTGCATGGCGCGCCGCCGCCGGGATGCTGGCGGGCTCCCCTGGCGTCCTGGCACCCGCCTGCCTGACACACGACGGGCTTCAGGCACCGCCGCTCTCGCACGTGTATTGCATGCTTGCTTGTCTAACCATCGCTTGGCAACCCCTCTTGCAGGCTGTGCATTCTGCTTATAGATTGTCTGTAACTACCGTGCATGACAGCTCATAGGGAGAGGAAGGTTGCATGTCGCCTCCAGCCCGCCTTTGTCCGTAGCACCTAGGGCCGCCAGTCTTCTCTCGACCTGTGGAGCAAGTGCGTTGGGGGTTCCGTTTCAGTTGTAGGTGTTTACGGGTAGTGCGGGAATGCCCGAGGTGTGGTCGCCCTGTGCCCATCCGTGCGGCGTTGGGGTGGCTCTCGACGACCTGACTCACTATTATTATTATTTTTATTTATTTTTTTTTTTTTTTTATCCTGACCACTTGTCCGAATCACTTTTCCTTGTGTGGGTCTTTGTGTATTCTTTTCCTCTTTCTCTTATTTGTCTCTCGCATATCCATCCACCATCTATCTATGTGTTTTAACGCGCACATTCGACCACGTGTATTCATCCACCTGTCCAGCCATCCAATCAATCAGTTAACCAACGACTTAACTTTCAACTCACCCACCCTACCTCCCTCCCTCCCTCTCACTCACTCACTCACTCACTCACTCACTCACTCACTCATCCACCCACCTATCCACTCATTGCATCCATCCATCCACCCACTAACTCACTCACACTCATTCATTCACTCTTTCCCTCTCACTCAATCACTCAAGCACCCACAACCAAACACCCACTCACTCACTCACCCAGGAACTATCATCTACTTCCACGCCCATCGAACGTCAAATCACTAAATCGGCCTGTCGCTCACGCACGCGAGAGAGAGAGAGAGAGAGAGAGTGTGAGAGTGAGTGAGTGAGTGAGTGAGTGAGTGAGTGAGTGAGTGAGTGAGTGAGAGAGAAGAGAGAGAGAGAGAGAGAGAGAGAGAAGAGAGAGTGAGTGAGTGAGTGAGTGAGTGAGGAGAGAGAGAGAGAGAGAGAGAGAGAGAGAGAGAGTGAGTGAGTGAGTGATGAGTGAGTGAGTGAGTGAGAGAGAGAGAGAGAGAGAGAGAGAGAGAGAGAGAGAGAGAGAGAGAGAGCGCACTCGCTCGCCTCGCCGTCCCACAAACGCGTCTGTCGAATCCGCCCCTTTTCATAGTCTGATTCTTGTCGTCGTTCAGCGTTACAGTGTTTGGTTTACAAAGGGTTTGTGGTTTAGCATTGGGATCAGATCGAGTGCCTTTAGGCTTGTGGATTCGTTCAAGTCGCCCTTGATGAACGGACGGCCTGTAGAGGGACGAACCTGTAGGCGGCGGGCGCGTGTCGCTTCAGGCATGTCGAGGGCGACAAGGAGGCGGCGGGCGACGCGGTCGCGAGGCGTGGCGAGCGAGCGGCGAGGTGTGCGTGCCGCTTTTCCTGGTACTGTAGGGCGGCGCGACGGGGGCTTTGACCCTGGGGCGGGGCGGGGGCCTCGTGGCTCATGCCTGGTGGCGGGACGCGGGAGGGGACGCGGGGAGGAAGGGACAAGGGAAGTCGGCCAGGGCGGTTGGGCGGCGGTTGGTGGTTTGTTGGGTTGGCGGGCGTCGGTTGTCCGGATTATAGGGTCGGCGGGCGTCGGTTGTCCGGATTTTTGGTTTAATTATAGGGTCGGCGGGCGTTGTCCGGATTATAGGGTCGGCGGGCGTCGGTTGTCCGAATTATAGGGTGGCCGTCGGTTGTCCGGATTTTTGGGTTTAGTAGGGTCGATTTTTTGGGTTAGGGATCGGTTGTCCGGATTTTTGGGTTGGCAGGCGTCGGTTGTCCGGATTTTTGGGTTAGTAGGGATCGATTGTGTGTCTTGTGTGTAAGAAGTAATCTTGGAGAGGTGTGTGACAGACAGACAGACACAGACAGAGTGGTATAACGGCGATGTATGAATTTCGACAGGTAGACTCGTGTTGTCGTGCAGGCAGGCAGGTAGATAGAAAAAAAAAAACGTGACAAAGCAATAGGTAGGTATGAAAGGAAACCAACAAGCTGACTGGTATGTAGATGTGCAGACAGACAGACAGACAGACGGATAGGGAGACAGACAAACAGACAGGGAGACAGGCAGACAGACGACAAACAGACAGGGAGACAGGCAGGCAGGCAGACAGATAGACAGACAGGGAGGGAGACAGGTAGGGAGACAAGAAAGCAGACATACCCGTTGGCAGGCAAGCAGGAAGGAAGGCAGTGACACGCGCACGCACATACTTCATATTATAGTGATTGCACGTTAGGCCTAGAAAACGTACCAGCAAAAAGGATATAACATTAAGGGAAATGAGGGCAGGGATGGGTTGTGTGTGGCTGACATATTGACAGAGACGCACAGATTATCCATGGATCTCGATTGGGCTGAGTGGGCGCGCGCTCTCTCATGCGTCCTGGTTTTTGTTGCTGTTGTTGTTTTTGTTGTTATTGTTGTCGCTGTTGTTGTGTTTGTGTGTGTGCGTGTGTGTGACGTTACCTCCGCGGATTAAGGGTTGGACTCGACGTTGGTGTTTATTGGTTAGGGTCTTCTTTCTTCTCTTCTTGTTGTGTTCGTTCTTGTTCTTGTTTTTCTTCTTCTTGGTCTTGCTGTTCTTGTGATGTGATGGCGTGGGGAGGTATTCGTTATCTTGGATTTGTTTGGGTGGTTCCTTGGTTTATTTGGTTTCCGGTGTTTTTGGTTGATTGATTTCTTGTTTAATTGTGCGGTTAAAGGTTGGTCTACTGGGTTATTGGGTATTTTGGCCAGACCAGATGAGAGAGGTAAAGAATTGATTACGGTCTATCGTTAGGTGTTTATGGTAGATTAAGGTTGGAGAGGGACAGAAAAAATCTATGTTTGTTGTTATCATCATTGCCATTGTTGTTATTGGTGCTGTCGTTATTGTTATTGCCGCTATCATCGTTATCATCGTTATCACGTGGGTGTTTTCGTGCCCACATCATCAGGCGCCTTTTGTTTCCTTCACAGCTTCATAATGTCGCGAGTCCTCCCCCCTCCCCCGCCCCCCTCTATTCCCCAGTTATTACTTACCGAATCCTCATTTCCTCGTCTTGCATTTTCTGTCAGTCTGCGTCCTTGCTTCTCACGTTCGCTTTGTTTTGCCCGTGGGTGTCGTTCCTCGTGTTGGGAAGGGGCCGTTCAGCTCCCCAAATCCTATTCAATGTCTGTGTCACTCTTCGGCGTCAGTTGCTTGGCCCTTCTGTCTTTCAGACTGTCTGTGGCTGCCTGTTGCTTTTCAGTGTGGGCGTGTGTCTGTCCCGCTGCGTTGTGGGTTGTTAGATGGGTTGTTGCCGAGCGCGCGTGCCCCGTTTGGGTGCTTTTCGTTTGTCGTGGAAGGGGCGGGGGGGGGGGGGGTTAACGTGGTGGTCGCGTGAACGGAGATGAGTGAATGATTTCTCTTATGACTTATTGTGTGGTGTCGCCGTCAGTTTCTGTTCGTGTTTCACGCCTTACCGATTGCCTCCGCCCTCTTCTTGAACTGGTTCAAAGCACATGTTTCATCTCACTCATCTCCTGCGTTTATTCAACACTCACGCCACGCACCCTCAGCTCTCGGCTCAGGCAATACTCATCCTCGATAAATTACAATATATTGACAGTCATTGTCGTAACGATTGAGTCATTCGTCGAACCACTTGTGATTCCACCGTTCTGCTCTCCTCAGCGAAGCGGGTCGTGCATTACTAGTGTAGCGAACCTGATATTGTAGTTACTAGTGTTCGTTAACCCAAAGCCAACAGGTACTGGTGATTATCGATCCACTTTTTTCTAACACGGTTTTTATTTTGGTGTCGCGTCCCTTGTCCTGAGCCCCCTGTTTATCGCCAGACCACACTGCTCGTTTCTCCTCACCCTCACTCTCCTCACACTCCTACTCCTCCTCCTTCTCCTCACACTCTCCTCTCCTTCTCCTTCTCCTCCTCCTCCTCCTCCTCCTCCTTCTCCTCACACTCCTCTCCTCCTTCCTCCTTCTCACCCTTTTTTCCTCACCCTCTCCTCCTTCTCTTCTCCATCTTCCTCCTCGTCGTCCTCTTCTTCTTCTTCTTCTCCTACTCCTCCTTCTCCTTCTCCTCTTCCTCCTCCCGCTCCTCCTCCCCTCCCCCTCCTTCTACTCCTCCTCTCCTCCTCCCCTTCTCCTCTCCCCTCCTCCTCTCCCCGCGAACCGACGCGACGGTCATCCGCGGCGGTTCAGAACCTCCTCCTCCTCCTCCCTCCCTCCCTCTCCTCCCCTCCCTCCCTCTTCCTCCCCCTCCCCCTCCCCCAGCCCCGCGCCATCTTCCTCATCTCGGTTCTTCTCACCCAGGACCCATGACGCCCTTCGTACCCACCACTAACACCTTGGCCCTGCATGGCGTCTTGTATTCTACTGCATAGCGCATGCGTCATGGACAATGCCCGCTACCAAGCCATACCTCTGGTACGGGTACACCCAGGTAGGATTATTCGTACGGCATTGCACAGTGTAGTTGTTTTTTGTTTTGTGTGATTTTTTTGGCTGTTGTATTTTTTTGTCTGTTTTTGGCACCCCTCTTTGTGGACGTGGTTCGGGTGTGCGCATTTAGGCAGGGGAGCGGAGGACGTGGACGCGACGACGTGGCGGGCGGCGGCTGGGCGGCGGCCGGGCGCACCAAGGTAAAGTCGCTTGGGGGAAGGGACCGGCGGGCGGCGCGGGTTTGGTTCTGTGTTGTACGTATATATCACACGCACGCACGCACACGTACACACATGCAAACAAACAAACAAACAAACAAACACAACACACACTCACACTCACTCTCACTCTCACTCTCACTCTCACTCTTACTCACTCTCACACTCACACTCACCTCACACTCACTCCACTCACACTCACACACTCACACATCACACACTCACACACTCACACACACACACACACACACACACACACACACACACACACACACACACACACACACACACACACACACACACACACACACACACACACACACACATTCGCATGTCTGTCTCTCTCTCTCTCTCTCTTCTCTCTCTCTCTCTCTCTCTCTCTCTCTCTCTCTCTCTCTCTCTCTCTCTCTCTCTCTCTCTCTCTCCTCTCTCTCTCTCTCTCTCTTTCTCTCTCTCTC